ATAGCCACAGAGAAAGGTAAGTGGGTTATATCCCCACTTTACAGACAAGGACACTGAGGTACAAAAAGGGGAAATGACTTATAAGTCATCTACTGGGCAAATGTGTTACAGAGACTATGATGCAGACAACTTTAATTTTTTAAAGCTCACCTGGCTACCATCTGACCTTTTTGGGAATCAAATACCATACATTTAGAAATCAACAATTAAAAAAAAACTTTAAAAAATTCCCATTCACCTTTAAAAAAAAAATCAAGCACATAATTCTTTCAAAAGGGAAACTGTAAACTATTAAGAGCTGTCTTTGAATGTGATCCAATAGGTCTTGTGTGACAAAACCTATGAAATGAAGCCAAAGCAACATACAGAGAAAAAAATATATAGCCTAAAGTAGATTTATTAGAAAACAAGACTGAAAATAACTATTAGTCTCAGTAAGGAATCTCAGAATGGAAGAAACTTTGATTCATCAGTGTTCATACAGAAGAGAGGTCCAGACATTTTAGTTGATAAGTCCAACAGGAACCCCAGGTGGGATGCGAATGATACAAGGTACAATTACAGGTTGTATCAAGAGAGGTGGGGGACTGCAGAGCCAAAGAAGTAACAATCTCCCTCCTCTGTGACTCAGCAGACTTGGAGGGCAGACTGCATTTTGTGTGGAACTTTGACCCGTTGGATCACATCCAAAGGCAGAATGGTCTTTACATTCCCTGAGTCAGAAGAATTGCCAAAAGGTTCTTATACCCTGAAGAGAAAGACCGGACCATCGTTGGCGGTCAAATGATCACTACTCCAAGAGGCATAGCCAGAGCTAGAAAGTGGAAACTCCTGGACAAAAATCTGACTAAATCCCAGGACACATTTTCTCCCAGTTAGGCCTTTCAACTGAGCAGTATGGCTTGCTGAAGCCTCTGTTTCACCTCCAGAGGCAGGACTGTCCGAGGCCACTAAGAGGCTCAGAGGGCTGGCAGTCAGAGATCTGGTGTCTCCATTCCCGACAGCTTTCATTTCCTCTTAAGAAGAGGCAGAAAGGGCACTTCCCTGGCCTCTCAGAGTGCTGGCACCAGGTACTGAGTTTTGTAAGCCAGCTCCGGAGACCTGCTGCTCAACAGCAGGCCCCTGTCAGGAGCGCTTGAGAGCAAGAGCACCTACCTCCCAACCTCTCTCTCTGGAGCCCTGCAGGAGAGGAATCAGCTGCTGGCCCATCAAGTCACAGAGTGTGCACATCAGCAAAACTCCCAGATTTTTTTTTTAAACAACTTTGAGGCAGTAACCTTGAGGCCTATCCCCCCCACCCCCAACTACCCACCCTGCCCTAAGAGTGACAATGAGTCAGTTGAAGGAAGACAGATCTGAAACCTCAGAGGAAATACCATTTCTTGGAAAGGCAAAGAGGTATGATTTTAGACAGAACCATGCATGCAAAGCTGGGGGGTTGGGGGGTGCCAGGGCAGAAGTGGGGCCAGGGGTGGGGAGGATGAAAGAGACCTTCTCCACTGTCTTGGAGTCTCCTCCCTCTGGTCTGTTCTTCCCCAGGACTCTGCCCCTTGTCTATCTAAAGGGTTCCCTAGGAGAAGCCCACCACTTGATGCACCCACACCCCCGCTTTACTTTCTACCTAGCATGGTCACTTCAAGACAGGATATGTTAGGTTTCTATTCTCTCCCATGTGAAATCTTAGGGGGCAGACATGTTTCAGAACTCAGAATTACTCAGACTACAGAAAGGTATTCTTGCATTAAAAATACACCTGACTTAACCATCCCCACGGGTCCAGAGCAATACCCCATGACCAACCACACTAACAGCTCTTCAGCTAGACATTGATGGAGCACTCATGCTTGGAAGACAAGGACAGACTCCAGAGAGCTCCACGTTTCATTCCCATCAAAAACATTTACTTTTTAGAATTTGTGGAATTCGGAATTACAGGTAAGGGAGGTAGGGCATCTCCACCTATTGGCATGTGTACTGTCCTTGACTAGAACTGAAACCCCAAGAAAGTGAGCACTTTCTCCAGGGCTCCATTGGAACCTCCTGGCCCATACAGATGCCCCATAAATACATGATGAAGAATGCACATGGAAGCTAGCTGCTGGATGTGGATGGAAATGGGCAAGGTGCCTAGAGAAGTTACCTCGTGAACACGCCTCCCTGTACCCATTTCACTGACAAGCAAACTAAGGCTGGGAGAGGCGAAGTAGTAAGGCCACACTTACACCTGGGACCCCGTCTTCAACTATAGCTTTCTCTCTGCCCCAGGTTCCAGGGAGCACAGTGATTTGTTGGGAGCCAGACAATAGCTATGAGGTTACAGCCATACAGCCGGGCAGATATGGCTCGTCTCGTGATATGGCCGTGGCTTCTGCAGGACTTCCCAGTCTCCGCTGGGCTTCTCCTAGCCACATGTTGCAAAGGGCATGTGGTGAGCCTCTCTTCTAGCCTCGCCAGGGGAAGCCTGGCAGAATATGACTGGGCACTAATCAATGTGCCAGCCGTGAGGAATGCTTGGGAAGATACCCCTGTGTGTCATCCTGACAACTAGCACAGCAGGAAAGCACACGGCTAGTAAGGTAAGCGGGTTCCAATCCCTTCTTCACTCTTGGATGTGGGATCTTGAGTAAGGGGAGCGCAAAGACATCTGCGGGCCCACCAAGTGGGTAGACTCAGTCCCGCCAATGGGGCTCACTTAATTAACAAATTCGTAATGCCTACTCTGTCCCAGGCACTGTTCTGTATGCTTGACATGTATTGATTCATTTCCCCATCACTACAACAGCAGCAAGTCGACACTATAGATCCATGATCGGGGAAACTGAGGTCCTGAGAAATTAGAGACGCAACAAGTAGCAAAGCCAGTGTTTGAACCTGGGCGATCTGGCTCTAGGATCCACACCCTTCACCTCCAATCTGTGCTTCTTGATAGGTAACAATCGACATGAACACTGTGTTGGGCACGTCACTATAAACGCGGTGTCGTTAGCCTTCAGGAAAGGCCGATTTCAACCAAGTGAGGAAGCAAAGCAGAATGTGGGAGACGGGAAACTTGAGATCCGGGGCCATGGGGTCCCAGATGCCATGGAGGGCAGTGGGGACCTACTGAACCCAACTCTCTTCTCCATCTTGGGCCTAGAGGACACAGGGAGGGAGGGAGGGGTGGCAGGGAGGAGGGGCTCCAAAGAGGTTCTCCCTTCTTTGACACCCCATTTCTGCTCCTTTTCTGAATCTGAGCATCAGGAAACTAAAAGGCTTGGACATCAGCCTTCCTGCCTGGGATGTACAAAGCACATCGCAGACTGAGTCACTGCCCAGAATTTGGAAATCCTCAGGTCACCCAGACCTGCCAGTAATTGGGTGTGTTGTAACCAGGATGACTCGCTGTTGCCATGCCTGCCCTGTCTTCCCACAGCCTCCCTCCAGGTTTGGTTCCAGAGAGCTGGGGTGCAATCCAGGAATCCGCACTGAAACACTTCATAGTTCAGGCAAACGTAAAATACACTGGCCTGCCTGCTCTGCCTCCTCGGAAGACAGTCAAGGCCTTCCACAGCAGCCCAGCCCTGCCAACCCCCTCAGCGGGCTCCACGTGTCCCTTCGCACCTCCCAGCCCTGGCCCCCCAGCCCCCTGCACAGCAAGTCTTTCCTCCCGTTCCTGTTTCCATGCTAAGGCTTCAGGAAGCCTGTCCCCTAGAGGAGTGGATCACTCCCCACCTATGAGCTCTCCTCAAGAAGAGGAGTAACTTGAGGATCCTGAACAGCGGGGGTCGGGGGGAGCGGTGACCAGGGGGACTCCAGTGAATACTGGAGAGGGAATAAATGCCCAGGGCCCATTCCCCTCCCACCCTACACCTCAGCAGACTGGCTAGCTGAGTTCAAGGGACCTTGGAAAGACTCCGAAACTCCCTGACTGAGGGACACCCTCGTGAAAAGTGCACCTGAGACTCAGTTTCCCCAGACTTTAGGGTTTTAATACAGGCATCAATGTCCCAGTAAATACTTGGTTCCTAAAGGTCAGGGAGGAGCTGCAGGGGTCCTACCTGCAGAGGGTTGGGGAAGGGCAGTAGGGTCCAGCAGGATTAGTGCTGGCCTGGAGGCGTCCTCATATCCCAGCAGCAGGCAGGGTCTGCCCTGATTATAAGAAATCCAGATTTTATTTTTAAAAAAGAGTCCAGATTCCTGGATTCATTGAATCTTAAATGCACGGAAGGGGAGGGCTGGTCATTTGCATTTTAATCAGCCCCCATCCCCCTCAGGCCTCTTTATGAGATGGTTTTACAAATATTGCTGAGAAGTGGTGAAGAGCAGCGTCTGGGCAATCACATTGCCAGGGCTGACACCTGCTGCACATGGTCCAGGTGGGCGTTACCTGAGCCAAAGTATTGAAGTCTGCAGCGCCCTGGCCGCGGAGTACTGACAGCACTGACCAGAAACCTATCCTGACAGTTAACTCAGAATACAGAAGAATACTGTGCTTTGAAGGTTCAGGGCAGAGAGCTCACTAAGTCCAGTAAATCGCTGTTATTGGAGCCATCCAGTATTCAAATGAGACCAAAAGTCTAAAGGGCAATTTCTTCTGTTCCCCAACCCCCACCCCCATTCCCAGACCTGCTGTCCAACTTCACAGTTTTTGGAACTTTCATCACCCTTCCCCCCAATCCTCATCAACTTCCTCTGTGCGGGTCTGGGGGTGGTTCCCCAGAGAAAGATCTGCCTTACCCCACCGCTCACGACATTCCCAAGTGCACGCCCACCCCACCCCCAGTCTGTCCCAGCTGACGTCTAAGGGACAGCGCGGGTTTGGGGGCTCACAGGGTGTCTGAGCGCCCGGGGGGCTGCCTTCCCGACCCCGCGCCTCAACTTCAGTACCCCGTGCGGGCGTGGGCACCCCCGAGGTCCCTGCTGCCTGGGGCCCCGTCGGTGGCCCGCACTTGTCAGACGGCCGCAACGCGCCCGGGGGCGATCCAGCGACCTCCCAGTCTCCGGAGAGCCGGGAGTCCTACCTTTGAGCTCCTGGTCCATTCGCTGCGCCGCCGCCCCGAGCGGGAAGTGGGAGACCCCGGGGCCGCCCGGCCTTCTCCGTGCTCGCTCACGGGGCTTTCCTGAGCGCGGGAGCGAGCCCGCCCCTGCTTCCTGCGCCCCGCCCCGGCGCCCCGCAGATTTGCATGCAGGCCACGCCCGACACGCCCCGGGCGCGCGGCCGGCCGGCTGTCCCTGCGTGCTGGTCACTGTCCCAGCTACCCTTTACGGTCCGGACTCCGGCCCCACCACGGACTCTCGCTGCTTGCTGTCTCACCTCACGCCCTTGCGTGCATCAGGCAGGAGGCACGCCTCCTCCGAGAAGCCCGCAGTAGCTCCCGGGCACTGTCAGAATAAATTTCCAACTCCTGACACACCTTTTACTCTTTACACCTCTCCGGTCTTCCCCCTTTGCCTTCCTACCAAGGTGCTTTTGGGGCTTGGGATGGGGCAAAGCTAACCCTTTGAGACCACCTCCCATCCGCTCCACACAGGGTGGGATTCTCCTACATGCTGGTGATTGTTCCTTAACAAATGTCTAGCACCTACTACATGCTACGTCCACAAAAATTAAGCGGGTGAAACTATTCCAGGGCAACCCCTATATGAAATGGGTGGCCTGGTTGTGGGTCCTCACCTGTGAGCTTAGAGTGACTTAAACTCAACTGCAGTAGACTCAACATGCGAAAAGGTTGATGAAGGGTTTCTTTACCAAAATAGGGGAAAAGAGGAAATTAATACTTCAGGGAGCAAATAGAGGGTGTCAAATTGGTAATGCGTCCTACCAGTTCCACCAACCTGGAATCCCAGGCACAGCGAAAGCCCAGAGCCACGCGAGCAGGAGCCAGCCAAGAGCCAAAACAGAGGCCCACATGGCTGGCTTTATACCAAAGCTGGCTGCCTAACTCCACCCTCAGGTCCCAGCAGGCCTCCCTCTGTGAAGGTGAATTTGGTGTTTTCCCGTGTCTTGGTGCTTTGGTCTGGAGTGGGTGGGGTCCACACAACCTGTGGAGTTCCTTCAGGACATCCTTCCCCCCTAACAAACCGCACTCCAATCTATAGTTAGTACTGTCTGGCAGGTCCTGTCCTAAGATACTCTATATGTTAACTCATTTAATCCTCACAGCTATCCCAGGAGGAAGGTACATGACCATCACCCATTTTACAGGCAGGGAAACCAAGGCACAGAATTTCTGTGCTGAGAATCACGCAGCACATACACGATTCAGATCCAGCCTACATAGCCCACTAACCACCGGGCATTCAAAGAGCCCTATGTAGCCTGATGGTTTATGCCTGCTTGGCTCATAAGTATTCACACTTACCCACCCACTTGTTCACACTCATGTACTCACCGCCCCAAACTCACACATCCACACTCCTACGCATTCACCCATATGTCCACATGATGTGCCGGACGAAACATGTCCATAGCCACTCACAGTCATCCATACACCGTGTTTTCATACTCACCTCACATCTGTACATTCACACCTGCCTACTCAAATGCACACATCTGCACTCAGAATCCCTGATGCACTAGCTCAGTCATGCTCACTCATACTCATCATGCATCCGCACAGTTAATATTTGAGCCCGGGAGGCTTAATGCTGTGAATGTCACCAGCTAAAAATGAAATCTTTTACCCCATCTTGGAGTCTGAGTTTGTGCCCAATCACATTTGCAGGCCACAGCAGAAATCTCCCTTTGGGAATGTGGGCCAGGACTGTGTGCCCTTCTGATGCCCCAAACTGGGCCCCCACCTGTTCTCTGGTCTTAAGTCAATCTGGCTCTTTCCTAGCCCCCCCTGCATCACCACACTAACTCAGCTACTCAACTGACTGTGGGACTTTGGGTGTCACTAGGCCTCAGCTTCCACATCTAGAAAGGGGGAATGACAAGGGACCCCACCTGATAGGGCCCTGTGTGGGTGGACAAACCATGTAAAGATATGTAAATACACACAGACATATGCAAATGTGCTCAATAAGCATAGATGTATGCAAATACACACTAAAGTGCTTATAATAACACCTGGCACATGTTTAGCACTCAGCAAGTATTCATTGCTCTCAGAATGAAGGTGAAAAAGAAGCCTATTTCCCCACCTTTCTGGTTGGTTGTGAACTAGGGGTGAAAACAATATTGGAAAGAGTGGAGGGGCTAGAAGAGACACAGCTGTGAAGATAACTGTGGAACTGTGAGGAGAGGACATATGGGAATTCTTTGAACTCTTGTAATTTTTATGTAAGTCTGAAATTATGTCAAAATAAAGTGTCAGAGTCAGGACATTGTCCTGAGGCACAAGAGACAGAATCAATGGGAAGTTAGTTGTCTTGACTCCAGTTTCATCCAAGCTTCCCAAATATTATCAGTGGCTGTGCTGTATCAGCCTTTGGAGAAGGGGCTGGAAGCCAGCAAATAACAGAAAACTCATGCCCTCAACCAGGGGATTCCCGAATATTACTTCAAGATAGCTCAGCTCACACTGTATCACAACACACTTGTTTCTAAGTTTTAAAAAATACATAAAAATTAATAAAATATTTCCAAACCCTTCAGTTATAAATTTACAGAAAAATAGATATCCCTAGTTCACAAAGGTTTAGTCAGTCTCTTGGACAGTTCTGTGGTGTTGACAAATACAGTAACATAGCAACATAAAAATAGAGTTCTATCTCCTCCAAATCCCCTTCTCATGCTCCCCAGCCCCAACTCCTGGAAGCCATTGTCCATTTTGCTGTCTCTCTAGCTGTGCCTTTTTTCAGATTGTCATTTGGCTAAAATCAGACAGCGTATAGCCTCTTAAGATAGACTTCTTTCTTTTAACAGTATAATTTTAGGGTTCCTTCATGTCTTCTTGTGACTTGATAATTCATTTCAATTTTAGCACTGAATAATATTTCCTCATTGGGAAGTGCCTCAGTTTATCCCCCCACCAATGGAAGGATCCTTGGTGATTTTCAGTTTAGAGCAATGATAGCAGCAAAAAAAAGCTATAACTACTTGTATGAAGGTCTTTGTGAAGACATGTTTTTAACTCCTTTGGATGAATACCAAAGAGTATAATTGCTAGATCCTATGGTAAGAGGATATTTTGTAAGAAATTGTCAAGCTCTCTTACAAAGTGGTTGTATCACTGTATTCCCACCAACAGTGAATAAGTGTCTGTTGCTCTGCATTCTTGTCAGCTTTTGATGCTGTCTGTTTTTTGGATTATAGCCTGTACTTGTATAATGGGATCTTATTGTTTTAATTTGCAGTTCTCTTAGAGAAATTTTGTTGAACATCTTTCATGTACTTAATTGCCACTGATCTATTTTATTTGCTGCTTGTTGTGTTCTTTTGTCTGCTCTTAAATTGGTGTGATAGCTGTCTTTAAGTTTTAAAATTTCTTATGTGTTTTGGATACAATTACGTTATTGGATATACTTGCAAAGATTTTCTCTGAGTCTGTGGCATTTCTTGTCATTCTTTTATTAGTGAGTGTCTTTTGCCAACTAGATGTTTTTAATTTCAATGAAGTCCAAGTGATCACATTTATTCTCTCATAAGTCATGCTTTGGTTTGTATACAAAAATTCTTTGCCAGACCTTTTAAATTTGCTAAGTTCTGTTTTATGACCCTGGCTGTGGATTATCTTGGTAAATGTTCCATGGAAGTTTGAGGAGAATGTTTAATATATTACTGGTGGAGTATTCTATAAAGTTAATTAGATCCATGTAGTTGGTGGTGCTGTGCAGTTTAACTATGTCCTTACTTATTTTCTGCTTGATGGATCTGTCAGTTACTAAGAGAAGCTAAATCACTAAGTTGTGTTATTATTATTACCCAACATCTCCTTCATTTTGCAGTTCTGTCAGCTTTTGCCTCATGTATTTTGACATTGTTGTTAGGAACATTCAGATTAAGGACTGTTTTATGTTTTTGGTGAATTGATTCCTTTGTCATTATGCAACACACCTTTTTGCCCCTGCTAATAATATTCCTTGTCATGAAGACTACTTTGTCTGAAATTAATATAACTAGCTTCTGGTTAATAACTACTCCAGCTTCTTGTTGAGTGTTAGCCTGATATATCTTTCTACATCTTATTTCTTTTCATATAGGTGCATTATGTTTAAAATGGGCTTCTTATAGACAACACATCGTTGGGCCTTGTCTCCTAACCCATCTAATAGTTGCCATAATACCTTGCACTACTGTGCACATAGTACCTTGAATGGCTGCACAGGTAAGAATATGCTTTCTGCTCACCTTTCTTTCCCACAGAACCCAGTCTTCATCGGGGTACACAAAGAATCTGAATCATGATTCATTCCAGCCAATCCTGACAATCCAATTCAGCTCCCTCAGCCTCCCTAGTTCTGGGAGTGGCTGAGGGGTTCATTCTCCCAATGAGACCCACGTGGAAGTATCTGCATGGAGGTGCTTCTGGGGTAATACAGCATTCTTGGCCTTGGGGGGCCTTTCTGCGCCAAGCATAGACCATCTTGCCACCATGAGGAAACAGAGACAGCTATGTGGGGGGGCATTTGCATTGGTGGACAATGGAAGCAATTCCGGCCCATATCTGGGATTCTTTATGGGGAGAAGAATTTTTTGTGGCACGGGAATCCTAACATTTTGGAGCAACTGAACCAGGCTAGATATAAAAGGAGAACTATTCGTCTCTCTTTATGCTTCTGTTGCTTGGCTTTTTGTTACTTTGCAGTTTACTAGGACAGGCTTCCGGAGCCAGAGACCCTGAAACCTCCAAGTCAAACTCTGTGGGCATAAACAAGACATGGTCCAAGGAGTTGAGGGTTGATCCCTTTTGCAACTACCCTTAAGGCAGAATGATATCAAATCCTATTTCTGTTACCACAGGAAAGCATATCCAATATTCAGACTATCTCTAAAATAAACAAGGACGATGGTGGTGGGGAGGATGATGTCATTGGTGATGAGTATGCTGGAGCTAACGACAATGATGGCTGCGATGATGTCAATGATGGATGTGGTGGGAGGGAGGCTGGCGATGTAATAATGGTGGTAGAGGCCATCATGTGGGTCA